TGACTTCTTTGTAAAATGTAGTATTTTAGGAAGAGTCAAAGTGACCGGTGTAAACTTTTATGCAATCGCTCTCAAAGCCAAGTGGGTTTCAAGGTCAATGGGAAGATTTTTAGATTAGATGTGTGTTTTTAAGGGTTACAGGCCTAAATAAAATGGTTAGGATTTGTGTCACTTAATTATGTGTCTACTGTTTTCCACTTCTAATTAATATTTGTTAGAAACATTTGAATGTCATGTCACGTGCAAAATTTACAAGCCCAAAATCACAACAAATATAAGCTCAGTATCATCCAGCTGCCTCGACTGTCTGGGTGAAGTGATCAGAGCTTTTTTTTTCTTTGCTGCGTCTCATTGTTCAGCGCTAAAAATAACTTGCTAATGTACGAGTAAATCCTTCTGTTATCTTCTCAACATCGTTTAATCACCCCTCACTTATTCTCTGTGCCATTACAGAGATTAAATCCGCAGTTCTCTTCATACCTATTTTTTTTTTTGTCTTTCAAAGAGGAATCAAAAGAAAGGTTTGCTCGCCTGAAATAGATAAGCTGTTAAAAAGTGACTACAGCCATGCAGCAAATGATTTGATGTGTGAGAAATCATCAGAATCTGATGGTTTTAGCATTGAGATGCCATGAGATCAAAAAAGTTATGTGAACCTATACATATCTTATAATGTACCTCAAAAAGGTCATTAGTGCTTCTAATTAAAGTTCCTATTCAGCTCAACATTATACTGTAATTTTCTGCACTGGTACCCCTGCTCTTTATAGTGACAAATTACTGGTAAGTGTGTTGTGGTCTTGCAGAGCCCTCTACAGACCAACCAGTGGTACTGAAGGTTAGGCGCCACGCAGCTGTTCTGCGATATAGCGCACATCAAATATCCATATTTATTGAGGAGTCCTGTTATGTTTACTAATAATTTCGTCTTCTCAGGTTACCATCAGCATAGAGCAACAGGCCACTGAGTCCAGTCTGTGTGAGAGAAATACTACCGCAGGTCTCAGCACTCAGGGTAAAGACAGTTTGAATATTCACAGTGCTATTTGTTCCTAAATATCTTTTTCCACTGGTGATCGTGCTAATGATGCATTTTTGCAGCCTCAGTGGACAGTGCCTCTCTCATGGTGTCAGAGGTGGCTGACCAGGACCAGACTTGCTCCTCAGAGGACTTGTGCTCCCTGGAGGTCCAGGGCTCTGACTCCTCTCCCTATGGCACGCTCCACACTGCCCCCACTGATGGAAGCTGCACCAGCCTGGAACTTTGTACACGTGATGCCTCACGTTGCCGCCGTGGCTTGACTAACACTGATGCTCGCCCTAGTGATACTGGATACAGTGAGTCCTCACACACGCAGGAGTCGCTGGAGCGCTCACCTGACTGGTCCTCGGAAAACTTTAGCAATCTGGACCAAGAGGACTCAGCAGAGAACACACATCTATGTGAGGAACTCAAGGCTTCAATGCACATATGCGACGAGCTGGCCTCAGCCAAGCATTTACCAGAGGAGCCACCTAAACCCACACCACACACCCTTATCAAAGCAAGAATGACAAGCCGGAAGCTCACGCTACCGGTTACTATCCCCCCGCCACCTCAGCCTTGCTCCCCCACCTCTGTGGCTTCCTCTGGTGGAACTTCAGCTTTCAGCCCTTTGGCTGCTTCCCCTTCCCCTTCACCTCCTGCCAGGCCACGCGGCCCAAGGCTGTGTTTCAGTGTTTGGTCACCTTCCTCTGCATCACAACCCCCCTCTACCTCAGCCCAAAGTGGACACTCACCCTCAGAGAAGCCTCGGGTGCTCCGAGCAGCCAGAAGGTACCGCAAACTGGCACGCATTGTCCGTTCCACCAGTGACCCTATCTCGTGCTCCACTATGACAGGAAGTAAGTGCAGCAAATATGTTACCATTTTACACTGTAAATGGCCTGTACACTGCAGCTTAATTAGTCCATCTAAGAATCATCATCAATCTTTCACTTCCAGATTCTCCAACATCATTATTTGCTGCATTTTTCTGGGTTTTACATTTAAAATACATTATTTTTTCAGCTTGTTTTTGTCCCCTGTCTACAGGAGAAAATTCTGGGTGCACCCCTGGGACTGACCCTGCTACTGAAGAGTTAGCTCATGCATCACCAGATCAGGGTAAGAGCGTATAAATGATGAATTCATGTGATAGTTAGGGAAACATCAGAAATTTGCACATCTGCTGCTATACAGCACTCTCTATTTTGTGAATCAATGTTACCTGGTTGGCTTACTATAATAAATTATAATTATAATGCATTGTCAGAAAGAAGAAAATAATTTTGTGTGTAAAGATGATTGCAGCTCATTTAAAACTGGCTTTGGCATTCTCTCAAATGCATTCTAGTCTTGTAAAAGCCATGTTTCTCCAGAAACTACAAGTGGCATTAGCTCTAATTTTAAGAACTGTGTGTGATTTAATGCGGGGGTTTTTTTGGTTGTTTTTGATTTATTTTTGCTGCTTTTTCCCCTCCTTAGAGCCAAGGGACAATTCAACAGAGGTAGTTGGAGGTAAACCCACACATATGTCTGCCAGGAAGCAGCAGAAAGAGGGCAAGAAAGTTGACATCCACCTTAAACCCAGATCGCTCCACACACACTCCTCTAACGAACGCCCACACTCCCTGGCTGACCTTAAGATGTACAAAGACACCAAAATACTAGTGGCTAAGTTCCTGGAGCACTCGAGCTGCAGTCTACCTCCTGAAGTCCAGCAAGTTGTCAACAACATCAAGTGTGTCATTAAATCGGATGAGAAACACATGGAGGAGGCCATCTTTAGTGCAAATGTCATAGATCAGGTAACCTGAATATATTATGGGTAAAAGCCTTTGATAGTTCAGTGCATTTTAGAAATCTGTATACCTTCTGGCTTTGGTGGTTAGTGGTGAAAAAAATCATTAAACTGGACCAGCTTAGCAGTGTTTTACAGGCTTTTTACACCAAAACCAAACATACAGGGATGAAAATCAGGAAGACATTTTGGATTGGCTCAATCAGCATTTTTCTATTTTGAACACAATATTATTATTATTGTTATTATTATTATTATTGTGGTCAAAACATTTCAAATATTTCAAAATAATAATAATAAAAAAGAACATGTGCATTAAATTTGGAAAGGAAATTCCTATTAATCAAATTTATTTTCAGTACTGCTATTTCAAAGGGTTTATCAGTTTGAATCATGTGCTAAAAATAGTAATTTGTTATTGGATAAGTACCTCTGCATAATCTGTAACTTAGAAACATCTGGAGACTTCGAAGAGATATATAACTGAATTACATCTGTATTGAAGAGATATGAAATGTCTCAAAATGCCTCTGTTATGTGTCTGTCACTGACTCTTGGTGGTTTTGTGCTCGAAGGTGATGACCCAGCGCATCATAGGCAGTCCCAGAAAGCGCGGGCATGAGGATCTTCATCTCCAGAGCTGTGGCGCTTTAAGTTCATCACCGTCCCCTTCCATGCGCCGTCCAAAACATCTCCCACAAACATCCACTGCCTGCACCAATCCACTGCGTTCCCCCTCCTCTGAACAAAGCCTTGAGTGCAGAGAAACTATTCTCTGACCACTCTCCTAACAAGGACTTGGGCCTAAACTCTGAGGGCATTCCAGGATGCTGGTGTTGCAGACATGCTGACCTGGGAATCTGATGTCTGTGAAGCGCTTAAGAACTCTTTGGGTGTCGTGAGATCGTTTCTTGAACAATGTGACTGCAGCACAAAGCTACTGAAATGCCTTCATACTGTATTCCCTAGTGCCCTGTGAGACTGTGCCAAGTCATCAGCAGAAATGGTAGCAAACTCAGAATGAGCCTACCAGTGTCTGTAGTGGCTTATTTCTCATCAGAAAAACAAAAGAATGTTTCTCCCTCAGGGGATCTTTTCTACTCAGTTTCATCTCTTAAAAAAGACACAAATACGCAGCTGGTAAGTTTGGATCAGTGACTGAAAGACAAAGGAGATTGTGTAATCAGTATTCCTCTTGTCCTCATAAGAAACAGAGAAAATACATGTTTGTATTAAACTGTGAACTGAATTGACAGGACATTGTTTGCAGACTTTGTGGAATTGTTACTGATAGGGTGGTGACTATTTTGTGGTTCAAGAACATCACAGATGTGGATTATTTAACTTACCTCATTGTGTTACAATTCTTATCTGTGTTACAATAAAATATGCGTTTGTATTTTGTTGTTTGTGGGGGTTTTTTTTTCTGTCTTACTAGATTATTTATATTTGTCTGCAGATATTCACATTTTGGCTTTGAAAAGGAGTGGCTAAAGTAATGAAAACACCAGGTAATGCAATTACCTGGCATGAATTGCAGTTTGGTGAAGCTGTTCCAGTTAGTGTTGTTTCATAACCAGTAATTCATTTTCCTCGAATGACGATTATTTGTTTATTTATTTTTTTAACACCTGGAAAAATAACCAAAAGTAATTCTTCCAGCAACTAGACCAAAGTTAGACAGTTTTTGTGACTGATATATGCCAACTCTCTCATTACTGAGCTGTAATTTGGCAGCATTGAAGTCACACAGTCAATTTTTATTTACTTGGCGAATAATTAGCATGGTACACCTGGACTTTTGAGTTGTTGAGTAATAGAAATGTAAAAATTTCAATAATTTTCATCAGTTTATGGAGATTACATTTTTTATTTACTTTTATTGCGCAAAAAGGAAATATCGCACCGTCTTCTGTGTACTAAAGCCAGATCAATCACTCTTCAAGACCGCCCTGCTTCCGGTTATAACGTATCGTCCCTGTTTAGTGTTTTAAGGCAGGTGTAATCGCTTTTGTCATGTAGACAATGGTTTAACAGATAATATAAAACACAAATATATAAAGTATAGACTAAAGTCTATAGCGTTCAGATGTGCTAAGAGTTATGAAAGAAATTTAAATACCAATGTAGACTTTTATTTTGAAACGCACACGTCCGCTGACAGCGAGCGGAAATTAAAGTGGCTGATTGCAGCTAACTTCATGCAGCGCAGACGTGATGTGTGGAAGGCAGTGAATCGTGGACAGTGTATAACAGAAACCCAGTATTCACAGTGGGTTTTTTAAGGTTTAATTGGCTGTGTTACGAGATTCAAACCAGTCCTTCGCAATTAAAGACGATGTGTTTCTCTGACAGCAGCCGCTGGTGTTTTCGCGTCTACGGTTGCTAGCTAGCAGTTAATACAAGCTAACGTAAAGTCGGGGTCAGAATTCAGGATCAGCGGTAGTCCTGTTTGACGGCGATTTTAGGGATTAGTGCAGTTCCAGACGTCTGTGCGTCCGGTACTGCTCGATTTACCAGAGGGACACAAAATAATTAGCTAAAGGCTAACGTTGTACAGCTAGCTTATATGGTTTATAGCATTCCTCAGTGCCACGGCGCCGTCGTGTCCACGTCTCGTCTGCCAGCTGAGCTAGGCCACGTCCCTGCGGGCGTATTTCACTTACTAACATTGGACGAATTGCAGTGAAGATGCCTAGTGAGCGGAAGGAGGAAGGAGAGCAAAGATCACTAGAAATGTGAAGGTCCTTTAGCGTTCATGACTGTCTGTTAAACGTCTGGACTTCCGAGCGCTTGCCGCATATACACGGCATGTCACGTAGACGGATGTGTTTCACACCGGGAGAATAGTCTTCACTGAGCTCGTTAGGTTGCAGTAACAACCTGAAATATCGTTAGACTTTGTTTGGGAAATGGTTGGGTTTGGCGCAAACCGACGGGGAGGTCGCCTCCCGTCCTTCATCTTCATCTTCTTGATGGTGATCATCGTCGTACTGTCTTTCAACTACTGGACAGTGTCCAACAAGCACGGCCGCTTGCTGGATGAGCTGGCGGAGGTGCAGACGCAGGTGAAGCGCACGGACGCGGCGCGGAGCCGGCTGGAGAAGCGGAACTCGGAGCTGATGGTGCAGGTGGACACGCACAGGAAACAGATCGACCAGAAGGATGGGGACTACAACGTCCTGGAGAGCAAGCTCCAGGCCAAGGATGCTCTCATTAAAAAGTGCACAGATGAAAAGGTACATTTCTCTTTTTGCCTTTGTCTGGGTTTGATCGAGTTAAGTGTCGTTTTTACTGAAATTTAACATTGCAGGTCACGCAAGGTATTAGAGCAGATAAAACATTTCCTGGGTACGGCACAGCATCTATACAGAACCAAGCGTATTCGTCTTTGACCGAGTGTCACTGTAATAATTATGTGTGTTTGGGGGCAAGACTGACTCGCTCATTTTTTAAATCTAGAGGTGGGTGTCATGTTCTCAGGAAAAGCAAACAGGAATGACATGAAGGTTCTTCATTACACCAAATCGGGGGTGTATGGACAAGTATTACTTTTAATACAAGTAGGAAAGGACAACATTTAGCCTCAGTCATATCACCATGTCTAATTTCACCACCTTATCTCATTGTATTGCTGTAATCTCAGCACTTTATATCAGAAAGTGCAAATATCTTATGTACTTAAGAGAGGTGAGGCAGGCTGTCTTGAGTATGAGCCACATAGTTTCATCTTCCTCGATTGCTTTCACCTGAATATTTCTCCACCAAGAATATCTTGCTAGAAATTAACAGCTGTAAGCTTCCTGAATCAAAAGGGTGTTTATAGGCCTCTTAAACTGTGGTTTTGTAGATGATTTTCAATTATTTTGTTATTTGACATGTATTATGTGATACAGGCTTTGGAGCATACACTGGTGATGTGGTGTGTGCTGTTGGTCCAACTTCAGAGGTGCTTGTGCTAGACAGAGCAGTGTTTCATTCATCTAGAAACAATTCATTTGAGCTCGATTATTTTGGTTTGCACTGTTAATTGTTAGATTTTCCTACATTACTGCCAACTATCTTCCTGTGCATAACAGGGAAATTACATTCACAAAAGAAAGCAAATTGAATTCAACTTTATTATGTTGTTTCTGTTGCTGATTTGCTCTTTCATTCTATCAGCACATTATTACACGTCTGTGGGGGCATTTATGTATTCACTGTGAAAGGCACATCAAAGCGCGCCACATGGACATTCCCACTTCTTGTCCTGCACAGTTACCCAGCCAGTATTTCACTGGCTTTTATGTCCCAGCACCTTCTGAACTTTTGGTCCGAGTCCAGCCGCCCTGGGAGTGTAATTTGCATCCAGTCTGGCTCGGTTTGATGTTTTTCAAAAGCAAAAGCTTAAAATTGTTTAGCTTATGCAGTGTGGATTGTCACTCTCTGGTTTGACCACAGACAGCAATAAAACAAATGCAGCATTCATGATTTTCAACTAATCGTTTTAACTTCATGCAACCTTATACAATAAAGCAACACATTTATTGCATAGTTTCAAGTAAATCTGCAGGATTATCAGGTTGGGTAAGGTTGCGGGTAACATTGCCTTGCTTTGCTCAACATTTATTGATGAGCTGTCCTTAGCCACAACACACAAAACTTTCTCCCAACGTTTGGAGTCAGGTTACTGGTAAAATGTAATTGACCTGCAACATAATACTTACATGATACTTAAAAAGGGCTATACATGAACACATTGGCTGAACACATGAACACATTGTCTAAGCGCCCTTATTTCTAGACTAAATTCCAAGATCCGGCTCTGTTTTCTTATTCAGGATAAAGGTAGCCATTAAAGAGTGGTTGTTCTCCTCCTTTCTTCTGTCAACAGACCAACCTTGTTTCAACAGTCTGCCTGCTACGTACTTTGTGAGAAGTGTGTACCACAAAGAAAGTGACAGATAAGTCTGATAAGTGGCTTTCAAACAGTAGAGTCTATAGTTTTGTAAGTTAGGTGCAGGAATGAATTGTGGAGCCTTATACTTCTTCATTTAGCGTGACCATGTTGTTCTAAAGAGCCAGGCGGCACAGGGAGGCCATTACCCACTTATGAGCGTCTAACAAGCCTTAGTCTTAGAGCAGTTGACATTAATGCTGTATTTCCTGTCCAGTCTTATTGACCACCTTCTGGCTCAGTCAGTCTGCCCAACTGTTTCAAGAGCTCAAATGCCTAACAATGACAAGTTTTTGGTAGAAAGGCAGATAAAGTATATCCATAAAAATCAGTACAAACCCCTTAGCTCTGCTAATTAATATTTTCAATATGTTGCTTCGATTATTTTCAGAAAATATGGCTAAATACTAATGACAAAATGGTGGGTACATGAATACATGCATCCTAGTGAGCCTCCAAGATCTTTTTGATGCTTTGGAAAACCTTGCTGCCACCTCAGTTGTATTTATAGAAGTATAACTTCAACTTAACTACAGCTGCTGTTTTTACATTGCATGCTTTGAAATCCATATTTGTAATCTAATGGGACAGAAAAATGTAGCTTTTGGGTGTCACTGTGATGTCCAAAGCCTCAAGTTTCCTTCCTTCCCCCTGCTTAACTTTCTTGTTTGGTATTTTACTGCTCTTCATGAGTTTTTGCATGCCATTTATTTTACTAGAACACAAAATAAAGCGCAGCCAGCAGCTTCAGGGTAATAGAGAGACTTTTAAGTTTCACATCATTAATGTTTATTGCGTAGCTGTATTGGATTTTATTATGGTTTACCTGGTGGCAAAGTGTAAATAAAAAAGCCAAAACCAAAAAGGAAAAAAAGCTCATAAACTAGCAATAAATGAGCTTTCAGTTTGTGTGCTGGTGCTTTTTTTCCTTTCTGTGAAATAAATCCTGAAACATTTTGTAGACTGAGATCACAGAACAGGCGTTGGATCAGTGTCGCATGACTCAGAGTACTGGAATAAAGAAAAGGGTTGTACTGACTGCAACCAGTTTTCACTATGAAGCATAACAGGATTAACCTGTTCCCCTCTTTTCATTCGTGCAGCTGTCTGATAATGCAGGAACCTAAACTGGTTTTACCTTTACCAGAACTAATACATGTTTTTTTTCTTTTAATGTTGCAGATGAAGCTGCAGGATGATGTCACAGCCCAAATGACAGAAATTCAGAGGCTTAAAGGTAAGACTTCAGCCTGTGTTGGCCAACAGAGGGCACTCTGGCAATTCCTTTAACACAGAATATGTAACATACAAAGCAATTTCATATAGCAGTACAAGTCTTTAATAAACCTCTTCAAAATGTTTGTTTTTGTGTGTCTGTTATTACAAACAGAGCAGCTAAGGGAGCTCAAGCAAGAGTTCATGAAGCAGGAAGAGCAGCTAAGAGAAGTGAAGAAAAATAACACTAACTTGGAAAGAAAACTGGAATATGAGAGGTATGTTAGTTCTTTACATGTGCCTGAGTCTTAGATATACCCATATTCGAGGATCTGTGAGCTCTCAGAGATTAAGTCTGCACAATTAGTCTATCACAATTTTGGTTTCCCACAATTAAATGAAGAAAATTAAACGATATTGAACATGCATGCTACACCAACAAAACGCACAGAAAAAAATCTAATCAGGCACTTTGTAAATCACTGCCTGATGATGTGCCCAGCATGTGCCAATCACAGCTTTCCCCTGCACCGCACAGCATGAAGTTTCCTCATTCTATTTGACCGTACTTATGTGGTACAGATAAGACCATCAGAGCAGAAATCAAAAGTGTGCCACAGCAGGAAGTGAAGTGGTTGCTCTTCGAAGCAGATTATTACCCACTGTTTGGAAGTACTTTGGATTTAGGGCAAGTGATGTTAACCAAGAACAAATTCAACAAGTGCTGTAAAATTGCGTCTGCATGGCAAAGCAGTGCGGCTAACTTGTGCTGCAGGTTGAGGTGTGTTTTTGTGTTTGTTTAATTGACGCATGAAGGCCAAGAAAAACAGTGTAGCGATCGTGGCTCAAGAGTTGGGAGTTCGCCTTGTAATCGGAAGGTTGCCGGTTCGAGCCCCGGCTCGGACAGTCTCGGTCGTTGTGTCCTTGGGCAAGACACTTCGCCTACTGGTGATGGCCAGAAGGGCCGATGGCGCGATATGGCAGCCTCGCTTCTGTCAGTCTGCCCCAGTGTGTGAATGGGTGGATGACTGGGTGTGTAAAGCGCTTTGGGGTCCGTAGGTGGGACTAGTAAAAGCGCTATACAAATACAGGCCATTTACCATTTACCATAGTGTTTGCTAACATCAATCGTCAAATTCTCACATCCACAAAAGCGAGCTTGTACAGTGTGTCCGTCCAGCTCACAAGGATGCACTGAAATTACTTAGAGGCAACACTCCATTTGGCTAAAGACAGTTATCCAGTAGACAAAGTGAGTTTAATTTTAAAAAATTGGGATAATGGTCAACTTACTGGACAAAAGATATCTTATCCCTTTGTGCTATAATTTTTGCAAAAATGGCGCTGTCTGCAAGAAATCGCAGGAAATTATAGAGGAATTGTACAGCTTTCAAGTAACTGGCTACATGCCTATCATGCAGGTATCATGAATGGAGTGAAATGCTATATTTGTTATATTTTGCTTCTAGAAGTTACACATACAATAGTGGAATAAACACATTATTTGTCTGCAAAGGTTTATTAACAGGAGTGTAGCGCAGTGTAAAATAGAAAAAAGCACCTGTTGATTTGATTTTGTTTTGATTTTTGTTTTATAGTTTATGTATAAAACTGAAAAAATTCCTTATTGCGCAGATGAAACTGAATGAATACATGTTAACTAGTTTACAGTGTGGACGCCAGATTGCACAACTGAAAGACGAGTATGAAGAAGCAAAAAAGACTCTGGAGGAAGAAACACTAAAGCTAAGACAGGTTAGTCTGATAAATCTTAACAAAAAGTATAAGAGCTATTCTTGTGTTTCTTTAGTAAATGATGAAAAGTTTTGTCTGTGTGGCACATTGCATTTACTCACTACTTTTGGATCTTTAACAGAGATATATTTAAAATAGAAATGAATTGTCCTGTGTTTCTGTTCTCTAAGCTTTCCTGTTCATTAAACAGCTTTGTCTTTTCTGTAATCTGCTTTCCTCTTCAGAGTGCAGTGGATGGTCACAAGAATGTAGTGGGGGGTAGACATGCAGATACAGAGCCTGGTGTGGAGACGGCTGGAGAGCGCCATACAGTGGCCACTCACCGGCATGACAGACACTCTGATCTGAAAGGTAGAGTGATTAAGTTGAGCAACACTGCTATTGTTTACTTTATGTTGCTTTCTACACGTTAAATGAAGATGTTGACTGTTCGGAGAAAATCATCAATAATAATTGCTCACATGGATCTTTTAATATTTTAATGTAAATAGTAGTTACTTCACGCTGTCTGGTTGTTAATCCTGTTAATATGCTAGCACTTCACTCCCATTCCCTGTGCTGTGTTACAGAAGAGATGGGTAAGCCCGGCAGTGATGCTGGCATGCCTGGTATTGAAGACAGTGAGGTGGGAAAAATCGACGATGTGCAGTTTGGTAAGTAATGAATGTAAACTTTCAGAGATCAAGCTCAGCAAATTATTGATTTGAAAGAATTCTGTAGCTGTGTATTGACAAAAACATTTGGACTTTTTAATCAGCCAGTATAGGTATTGACAGACCATAATCAGCATTAGATTAGGCCTTAATATAAGTAAACATGTTAGTTGCATTTAAATTCACCTCATCAGAGTTTCCATGAAGGAAGAAATTTGCTATACAGACTGAATCTGCTTTTCTTTTTTCTTTTTCTTTTTTTTTTTTACCTGCCTTTAAACTTGTTGACTCTGCTGTTTGGCCATTTTAACATGAGTCTAAAGGGAATGAGTCACTTCTGGAGTCAGCCTCAGGTGCCGCTTTGAGGAATTATGGTTCTTTTGTGGGCAGCACGGTGGTGTGATGGTTATAAACATTGCCTGATGGGTTTGAATCCATTAGCTGACCGGAGCCTTTCTGTGTGAAGTTTGTATGTTCTCCCCTTGTCTGTGTGGATGTCCAGGTTACCCTTCCTTTTGCCCTATGGCAGCTGGGATGGGCTGCAGTGAAACTCCCAACTCTGAATTGGACAAGTGGAAGAAAATGGATAGATAGTTCTTTGGGTTTTCAACTTGGGTTTCATTTTTCAACCTCTCAAGGTTGCTTTTTAGTGAAATACAGTGAAACTGAATCCGTAACTAGAGAACAATAACTGACCCATATAGCTTACCTACCTGAATAGTGCATATAAAGTGAGGAAATCCTTATCCCTTCTGTCACTGATTGTAACCCTACCTTTTTTAAAAACAAAATCCTTGTGGCAAGTAGGTCACTGACCTTTCTCACATTGTCTTTGTCCTACAGGCTTGAAGAAACCAGCCATTACCCAGAAACACGACGAAGCTCCGGATGTGGTCGTGGGAGCCGGTGCTGGACCTGGCGTCGGGGGAGCTGATGGTCCCGGAGGCCAGGGCATGTTGCTGGACCAGCCCGGACTCCAGCAAGACAGACTGGATGGCCGAGCCGTAGTGATTGCACCTCCAGGCATCAACAAACAGGGAGACAAATCAATAGTGTTTGAAGAAGACAACAAAGTGGGTATCAAGGCAGACGAGCTGGGAGAACAGCAAAGGCAACTTCGAGGTGCAGTAACCACATCCATATAACTGCTATTCATTTTAACAATGTTTATTTTGAGCCTTTAGGCATGGGATAATAATGTGACTACAGCTTATTATAGATGTTTAGCTTTCGGTGGTTTGTCTTTAGCCACATCTAGACTGAAAGAGGAGAGAACTGTTATCTTGTTACATTATTTGTTTACAGTTCCTCCATTTGTAATGAGTTTTTCAAGTGATGTGTAACCTCTTTCAAAAGTTTGAGTGCTCCCTTGAAGAATGCAAATATAGCTTTGAGAAAGCAGTACTTGGAACAACTGCGCCTGACTTTTGAAGTATTTGTTTTGTTTTTCTAATAATCAGTTCCCAGTGATGTCAGAGTTGAAGGTGAACACTTGAAGAGGATTCCTTTGCCCCCCAACCCTGCCCAGGTGCCCAACCCCATCCAGCTTCACCACGCCAAAGACCAAGTTCCAGCAGAACCAGTACACCACCGCCAAAGTGAGTTCCTCTACTAAACTCTGAAAAAGTGAACCCTGCTATTGGCAATGAGGGTAGTGATTATTTTCTTTCCTTTAACTCATTGATTGATTCCACTCAAGTAAAATTATAGTATTTTGTGGTAAGTTAGTTCTGTTTATACTTCTCTGAATATCTAATAAGGCAGGGATTAAAATATAACTTACTGTGGTGTCATGTGTACAGTTTTTCCAGTTTCTAAGTCAGCGCATCCTCCTAAACATAACACATTTTCATGAAAGATGGGATTTCTAAGTATATAAGTCCTATCTGAACATGGTTAGGGCTGTCACAGAAGGCTCTCTTGCAGGGGGAGGGAGACAAATGACACACTTGGCTCCTCAATTTTCCTTTCCTGTTACCTCACTTCTGTTCTGCTCTACTGCGCTTTCTTCCTCCTTCTCTCTTTTTTAAAATGTTCAGTTCTTTTCTCTTTTACACTTCCATCTCATCATCTGCAGCCCTGCTGCTTAAAAAAAAAAACGAAGTTTTCATTTTGTTTTTTTTCTGCTCTGATCCTTCTAAATTGCAATTTAGTGTAGAAGTTAACACCCTTTAGGTGATTTGTTTTTGCTGTCATCTCTGTTTACATTATCAGCTTACAGACTGCACAGCTCATCCCAATTCCCATCCCGTTTCGGAATCTGTGAGGGTCTAGACAGGAACATAAACAGTCTTATATGCTGGTGTGAAAGAAACTGCGGCAGTAAAAACTCATTTTTTAGATTGATTATTTTATATATATTATACATCTTACAGTTTGGGGGGGGCAATTTTTCAGATCTCGAGTTAGTTTTCAGATCTCTCCAAAGAGGCCTCTTATTTGAAGCCACATTGGACCACACTACCACCACCACATGCTGTGAATCTTGTGGTAGGCAAACTCTAATTTATAATACTGCATCCAAGACCACGATTGGCTTTTTTTTTCTCTTCAGAAGGCACCATGTATTTACCTCATCTTTCTCATCTTTTGTCATTCTCTTAATGCAACTACTTTTCCCTTCATGCATACATGATGCAGTATTTCCCCTCCCTATCTTCCTACAACTGCCTTCGCTTCCCTTCCGTCCTGATGAGGCCCTTCTCTGCCTCCTGCAGGCCGATTCTTTGATGAGAACGAGTCCCCAGTAGATCCGCAACACGGCTCTAAGCTGGCGGATTACAATGGGGATGATGGGAACGTGGGTGAGTATGAGGCTGACAAGCAGGCCGAGCTGGCCTACAATGAGGAAGAGGATGGTGATGGTGGGGAGGAAGACGTTCAAGGTGAGCCAGGCCGGGGGATTGGACTGTTTGTCCAGATGTTTATCCACCATTCCTCCTTGCTCCCTCCCTCCACCCCTGTCCTGCCAACCTGCTGCATTTATCTTAAGTAGCTCACAGCAACCCTGAGTTTGGTCTTTACGTCATCGTAAATACAGATATTTTAAAAAAAAATGTGGCAAAAATACCTGAGGATCAAAGCAGAACTGCTTTGTGTGCAATTCAGGAGAATTGCATATTTTTACTCGGCCTTATAACAGTCTTAATACCCTCTTATCTTATGTAGAGGGAGAACTTGACCCAGGAACTTACGGTTCTGTGAGAGTAATTGAGTGGTCATCTAGTGTTTTCTGTCCTGCCTATGTTTCGTTTTAGCTAAACCACCTGTCTGTGCCCACCAAACATCTGACCTACATCTAGCCCAGTAGATATATATATAGCTCACTGTGTTCCTGAATGTGTCTGTGTTCTCCTTGAAATATTGAAATGCATGTCCATGTTTTGTTTGTGTGTTTTTTTTTTTTTTTTTTTTTTTTTTATTGTTTGTTTTTTCTCTCTTTGTTTTGATTGCCCTTTGGATTTTAAATGAAATTGCACTATTTCATACCAAAACTACAATAGTATTTTTAGGGAAATTGTGTTTTGCTTGAATCTATCAAAGGAAAAAATAATTGTATTTCTGATCTGCCAGTGCTGTGATTGGCTGTTTTTTCATTTGTCTTACATACAGATACATATGCCAAAACATGAAGTCTCTTATATATACTTGCTATTTAAAGTTACCAACAGGAAAGCTAATATCCTAGAATGATGTGGGTTGAGTTCCTTCTAAAATGAACAATCTGTTGATATATTCTTGTACATAAATCAATGTTGCTGAAGGGAATCAGAGAGGGCTCTGTATTTTACACAATTCACAGAAGGTTGACATCAACATCCTTTAAAGCTTAAAGTCAGCACTACGATGTTACATTATGGTGTCATCCTCATATACCGGAGATTATTCAGAACACGTAGTAAATTTTGCATCTATTTAATTGTGCATTCTCTAATATTTGTGTTTCTCTCTCCTTTTTTGCCCTCTAGATGATGACGATCGAGATATGCAGGGAGATCGGGCTGTGGATTATGGGAAAAAAAGACATCAAGCCAACGACATTCTTTGAATGGAAACTCATACAATCGTATCTCATAAAAAACACATTCAGACCCATCTCCACAAGTGAGATTTCTCTTGACAAAAAAACATCAGTATGTCTAAGAACTTTTATAGGTTGCAATCTCAATGTCATGGACTATTTTGAAGAACAGACATTGCAGCTAATGAAGTAATTCTAAATAATGTAACATACTATGAAAAAAACACACAAGGCATTTCCCCAAGCTGCTGTTAATTTGCTAATGGCTTTAAGTTATGACAGTAGAGATAATATACTGTACTTTGACTGTTGAGTATTGATAACTGCACCGGCTCATGCCGGCCCTAATGACCCACATCTGAACTTCAAGGACAGACCATGTTTTGGTTTAGCTACTCTTCTTCTTCTCACTTTGCTGTTGCTTGGTACAAACTCTTCATCTGAGATGTTTATCAGAGACTAATTTGGCATTCTGCCTTTCTAACATAATCGTGGGACTCTTATATGGAAAACTTTTCTGTTTGTTTGTTTACAAGAGTGGGAATACATTACAAATGCCAAGGACTCTACTCATGGCCTGTTGAATCCGTTTCTTACTTTGACAGACTAAAAAGTGCTTCTCTTTTTTTCTTTTTTTCTTAAATGATGCCATTGCATGCATTTGAAACTTTTTATTAATCAAATTGAGCAAAATACTCATGCTTAAGCAATACTTAGAACAATGTTGGTGTCCTACACAGTGTGATTAACCAAGCACATGTGGAGCTGACATACTGTACAAATGCTTCCATGAATGAGGTTTCTGTGAACATAAAATTAGTTCTGTTTGTGCAACCAGGAAAATTGATTTCTCATGGAAAGGCACAGTGAATGTAATTTTATTTTATTAAAGGTGATGCTTCATGTCATTTGTGACGGTACTTTAGAGTGAATGCAGATGCATGAATGATAGGTTGTCATCCTCCTCAAAATAGTCGTGTTTTGCCTGGGTATCTGTAGTGCATCATATCCAGTGGGGTTTTGTGTTTGTTTTATTTATTTGTTTATTTTGGTTGTGTCTTTGTATTTCACCACTTGCTTCAAATGATGACCCACAAAGACGAGCAGTCCTTTACCTTTATGATCGCTGGCAGAAGAAACGGTTCGCGGCAGTGATCATTGCAGACTGGCTGGTGTTTTTGAGAGGTAAGGGGGTGTGTCTGTGTCCCATACGGGTATCTGCCTCGGAGAGACTGAGCAGAGGCGGGAAATGGCGCCTGGTAACACAACGGTGTGTCATTTTGAAGACAGTCCGTGAGTAGCTATAGAAGGAAAAACTCGGAACCGATCACAAAAACAAACCAGTGCCTCTGCTGTGATGGTTAATCAGCCTTGAGTCATCATCTCCAGCCACTGCGGATCACTGTAAAGTAAGTCGCTCACGCTAACCTACCCCGTTCATTTGACTTATTGTACTCATTTATGTAATTGTGGCTAACAACAAGATAGTTATTTTTCCCCTGTCCTGTGCACATCTATTTGCCAGAAGCTGATTTTTAAGAAGGCTCGGTTAGTTAACCCAGCGGTGCTAAGCTAGGTTACATAGCTAAGGACGGCTAAACATGGCCTACCACGGACCTGGCTAATTCCTGAACAACCCGATATCACGTTTAGTTACATTTTATCTACTCAGTGTTGTTACTAAATTGAATACATTGTTACTAGCTCAACAGTCATATAGAATGTACCTACTCTTACCCAAATAAGGTAACAGATGTAACAATGCAGATTGTCGCCAGGTAAATCCTGCTAGCATCCTTTGAAGCTAGCATCCAATTTGGCATTCCTCAGCTGAGTTCCGCCAGGGTCGCTCTTTACCACCGTGCTTTCCGTTTAATAGAATTCAAAGGGCGCTCAGTTAGACGTGTCCGTGTACCCCAGCAGACCGGTGCATCAGCTGCATTGTTGGTTAAATGGAGCGGTGATGGGATTAGCAGATAAAATAGCGCTACTGTTGGCTGTTTTGATTGACGATTCAGAGTTTCCGCTGACAAACATGAAGACGGTAACGCCGTTCGAGTGAACCCCTCCACCAAACTTTCCGCCAGCTTGGATGACCTATGCTTCTTTTTATTAAGTCGTCTTATTCATTTTTAACGTCATTCCGCTGAAGGTACGATGTCGCACTGGCTTGCAGACGGTAAGTTAGCCTATTTGGGGGGTTTGGTTCGTTGAATATGCTAACGTTACTTTTAGCTACCAGAGTGCCAGGTCGCATAAACAATGCAACGTTACTTTCAGGCTGACGCAAAGCCTGACAGTATGATATCAAAGTGCGTTAAAGCAGAATTGTGTAGTCAAGATTTTTTTGTTTGTTTGTTTTTTATTACAATGAACAAAGCATAATTTGACCTCTTGTACTTGGTTCAGTTGATTAGCTTTAGCTGCTCATTTAGCTGGGTTTGGTCGGTTCATAACTGACCAAACATTTTCAAACGCCTGTTTTCGGGTCGCTAAGTGAAGTGGAAATGGTGTGAAATACATCTAAATGTTAGTGGGTTTTGCCGGTTATGTCGTATGATTCAGCTGTTCGTTAAGCAACTTAGCCAACCCTAGCCTCGGGGTAAATTTTGCAGAGCGGACGGGTTGTGGGAAGGGCCTCACTCGTTTTTCCAGTGTGTTTTCAGGGCTAGCGGCTAGCTTGCTCATACAATCTCAGCTGCATGCATGTTCCTATTTCCCGCTCTCTTGCTGTGTGCATGATTCTCGGTCAGTGGCTGATTTCCTTGGTGAAGCACACATTTAGTGCATGCTGTGCTTCAAAGGTAGACCTTTAGTAGCTTTGCTGTTGCCGTCTTGAGCTTTAGTGGGGTTAAATTGTACAGCAATTAAAACAAGCACTTAAATGATTCTTTATTTAGCAGCAACTCGAAAGTCCGGTATGCTGCGCACATTCCCGTGAAATGCACAAGAAAGAAAGGCATGACTACACAATCTGCACAAAGTAATGGACATAACTGTGTTCCTTAATTTCTAGAAAAACCCCTATGCAAAGTGAACGCGTAAAGATGACATATTTCTACTCATAACACTTTGTAATTAGGAGAACAGCGGTGTCAGAAGTTGTCGTTCTTTGCTAAACACATTACAATAACAAAAACAAGTAGTGACAGTCTGCAAAGATTAAAGGTAATCGCTGGGATGTTGGAATCAATAATACTTGATACTGCAGGCTATAATGGCATATCGATCACTTAAACAAAAAACCAGTGTGAGCTTCACCATTATTTTGAGTGTTTTCACTGTAATCTAGAGGAAACAAGAATACATTAAACCAGTGGGCAGAATAGTATCAAAAGTAAAGTTTTAGTTATTGTTTTCTAAGATTTAACAAGTAGTATGTGCTAACATAATTGATATTTTATATATTAAGGGCTGTGTAAGGAGTGCTGTGGTGGTTTATCTACAATGTCCGTTATTTTGGAGAGTTTAAAAGTTTAAGAAAAATGAGTATTACAAAGAAACTCGTATGGTTAAAAAAGCTAAATACAAGATTTGATAACGATATTTCAAAAAAAAAGCTAGCTTAATTAAGGTAACAGGTAGACACATTTTAATCCTATACATTTTTTCTTGTATACTTTTGTGAAATCATAAAACTCACTGAGAAGGGAAACCTGAAATAGTTTAAAGCTTTTATTTTGTGATCTTATTTTAGTACAGTGTAAGTGTCTGTGCCAAGATGATGGAAATAAGATACGGTTTTCTATAAAGTAAAACAGGATCTTTCAGGAGAATTAACGTGCACAAGTAGACTAAAATAATCTTCTTTTTAACTCTCAAAAGCATACACATACAGTTTAAAATGTTCTAAAACTGGATTAAATTAGCAGGTTTATTACAAAATCTCTCCTCATGGCCTTATTTACATTTTTTTTTTTTTTTTTCAACAGCCCCCTCAAATGAGAAACTTTTTTTTTTTTTTTAAACTATTTTCTTAAGGAAACCTATGTATAATAAATCACGGACTGCATCCTTCCCTTACGAGTACAGTTACAGTGAAGTAATGACACTGTCTTCATCTGCTAAGTTATTTGATACTCGGAGCAGCCGCAGCTTTCAGGCACACTGTCAGCATGCACGCTCCTGGTGATGTTTGTTTATTTTTTTTTTTAAATATTTTTTTCTCTCCCCTGTATGTGGGATTGGGCAACAGCATGCACACTTGTGGCATGTTCACGGATACACCCCTGTGTAAATGTGAAGCAGATGTAGGGAAGGACATTTACAGTATGTGAGATGTGTACTGTATCCAATGAGAAGGTTTGTGTGTGTGTGTGTGTGGACTGCTGCTGGATATGTCTGGACACATTTTTAGTTGCGTAACCACAAAGGCCAGGCATGCTTGACAGTTTTTGTTCTCTGTGAATTGTTTTTAAGTTTTTTGCAAAGGTTGGTGAGGACAGTGCTAAATCACTCAACTTTAGGAAATATCTGTATTTCCTTCAGATTTTGTTTTGGTTATATTTATGTATAGTTATTCAGCTTATGTCTAACACGGGCTCGCCTTTAACATTAATCTTACAAGCACACTCGAGTTGGAGAGTTTGAGTATATGTACAGTAAGATCCTGGGTAACGTTTTTTTTTTTCCATTAGTGGTACAAATGAAAGTAAAGCCAGCTGTTGTTGCCGGATCCACTGATGTAAGTGAAACGGGATCTTGAATGCATCCAGATGTTGGTAGAAAATTCACCAGTGTTACTCCTCTGCACACAGATGCACCCCGTTGACTCACCCATTTTAAAAGTTAATGCATTCGAGACTGCTAGAACAACTTGTTTGTACTCATTACCAACTGAACGTTTGCTTAAATCTGTTGTCTCTACTGTACAGCCATAATGATTTCCTCTGTCTCTTCCTGTATTTGCTCTTTTTTGTTTCCTTTTTCTGAAACAGCCTTACATGTGACTGCTAAAACAATGAGGCTGAGAATGCGTAAGGCGTCTCAGCAACCGAACCCCACTCTGGCAAGCCGCCCATCCCGAACCAAGCGGAGGCATTCAGAAGTAGAAGAGGACACTCCTACTACTGGGAGAGGATTGTTCTCCACCATCAAGAAGTTCATCAGAGGAAATGCTGTAAAGGTAACCTCTTCCAAGCTCGCATCACCCCGTCTGTGAGCAGTAAAAATAAAAATTTGTAGGCAGAGAAGTTATTCTCCTGTTGTCTTTTTTTTTTTTTTAGCTGTTAAAGAGATGAAAATGTTTTGGGCATGTATGTTAAACACTGCTTTAAAAACCAATGTGCTATCAAGGTCTCTAAGTTTAACACAGTGTTTCTTGGTGGAGAGTGTCGTGTTTCCCAGGAAATGTCTGGTGGAATGCAGCAGCTTGTCTGAGAACTCAGGCTCTGGTCTAATTTTAGCTTCTGGCTTGCAGAGTTGGTGTGCAAGGACAGGAGGTGGTAACAAGTGGAAAAGTCAACTCTGCTAAGAGACGTTTGTCCTATGAAAAGACATATGGCCATTTTGATAATAACACTATATATTCTAAGTTTGTCCCTGCAGTTTTCATATGAAGTCCCAAAAGGTGTTTTATTTTTGTTGTTTTGTTTTTAACTCCTTAGTGGGGGAGGAAAAAAAAAGCTTAATTTAGATTCTGACCTTTATGACAATGCAGTGTGTCATGCAGATATTTTTGTAGGTTCAGTGGAAGCACAATGAGAGTTTGCATTTGAGAAATATGGGGGGGAAACAAAAGACACGCTTTTAGCAATTTAGCTTTCTCTTTGTTGTTCATGTGTCAGGGTTACTGTGCATGTAAACACGGTGGGTCCACATTCAGTAAAAGTTGGGCGTTTGAATCACCTTATGCTTCAGTGACATTATTAAATATGTTTAAATGGCACCACCAGATAACAAAAATGACAGACTGTAGCTGGTAATGGGTGCCAAAAATATCTCTAAAGAAAAAGGCTCTTCTGTGTTTGGTGCCTGATGAGCCTGTCATACTCTTTGCATGTTATATGCCAAGTGCGAGAACTCCGTACTGATTATACCAGCACTGTCTGTGCGAATGCTTGCTGCAGTATTTAAAGCGGAAACCAGTGTTTTTGTTTATTGGTCCATTCCATGGTTGTTTTGCAATGTTGCAACATCCCCTTCTGTGTAATATGTCAGTCGCTGAGCTTATGTAATGGTGCATCCTTAAACTGGTGGTTCAAAACAAAACAAAACAACAACCAGAATTTGGAGATGCTTGGCCGGCCAAATCTGCACCAGAACGTGACTTGCAGCAGCAGATGTGGCATCACTTTTGGCGTGCAGGGCAGTTTACAAGGGCGAGAATAACCGGTCTAATGGACCGGTTAGTCAGTCTATAGTAGATATGTCTGATGGTCTAATCTAGAACGGTCATTCTGAACCATCAACAAAAGATTTTTCCCTTTCTCTCATGGTGGTGAAATGTCTAGAGGTCTCAACCGAACAGAGATAAATCTGTTTGCCTGTTATTTAATTACAGTTGCACTCATTATAACTTACACAACTCCTATAATGGTGTGTTGTCTTGTCAGGTTCAGGAGGAAACCCCAGCAAAGAAGACACGCCTCCACTGTGATGTGGACAACAACCTGATCACCTCTACACCCACAGACCCCAACGCACCCAGGAGGAATATAAGCAGAGTTGGCAGGAGAGGATCCGTCAATGGACGTGAGTAACTCACATAAACAAGATTAGTTATTATTTAGTTGTGTTTTCTCTGCTAACACTGTTGAACGTGTCCCCTCTCCTCCTCTGCAGAGGCAACCAATCACGACAGGAGTAAAGAGAAGCCCAATGGTAGTCTGGAGGAGACGACAGCCGTTGAGGTGACCACCAGCCCTCCCAGAACGACCCTTCTCGGGACCATCTTCTCCCCCGTTTTCAACTTCTTCTCACCAGCTAAGAATGGTAAGTGGACTCCAAAGTAGTTGGGGTTGTGCTTTCAATTGTAAACAGAAACCACGTTTTATCTTTTTATTACTAATTTAATCTAACATAAGCTGCTTTTTGACAATAATCAGTCCCTCTTCCAGTTGTTTTGGACTGCAAGTTAGGATGAAGATGCATTTCTTGTTAGTTAGTTCAGAATGACACCATCTTAAATTTTTCTTCTTTCCATTTTTTTTTCCAGCCTCTTCTGGCTCGGACTCTCCAGACCAAGCATTAGAGGCTGAGGAGATAGTCAAGCAGCTGGACATTGAGCAAGCTGTGGAGACACCTACCAGCACTGCTACATCTACGCAGGAACTGTGCGTCACCACCAACTACTACTCGAGCGTCTCACAGCTCCCACCTCTGCGACCGCCACACATCCTCGAGGCTTCTCCCACAACTGAAGAAGGAGAGCTGGATACGGATGCTGACCTCCCCCCTCTCACAGGTAGATATCACAGCTGAGAAAACATAGTAACAATGGCAACCGATTGCTCTTCTTGTGATGCTGATTTATGGTATTGATTCTAATATTTGCATTTTTAAAATACTCTTGTTGCGCTCCAAGCTCCTGGCACCAGTCCAGATATGGCACATGTGGACACCCTTCCAGCTACAGTACCACCAGAGGCATCCTACGAGGAAGACTGGGAAGTGTTTGACCCGTAAGTTTAAAGGCTTGCTACACTTCACTGAACCGTTTCCACAACAAAAACACTACAGTGATTATTTCAGCTTAATCAAGCATGTGGACAGGCAGACTAGCCTAAAGGCTAATGTTTCTCTTTTTTTCATATTGTCGAAAGACCTTTGATTTTACTAAGTAGAATCAAAGTGAAGAGACATGACACTCAGACCACCAACCTGACACCCTTTATGTACAGAAGTACCTCACTTATATAGTCTTACACTCCTATTTTTTAGGAAAAAAAACACAATTAGGAGCATGGTCAGTCACACAAGGCTTTTAATTTTATTTTCTGCAGACTCCAAGGGTAGTCATTAAAAATGCGATAAGTAAAACATTTTGGCTATTGAATCTAAGGGGAATGATATTTTAAGCAGACCTGAGTTTTAAGTTAAACCCTCCTTTTAATGGTTTCTGACTCACTGTGAATGTTGTGGCATTTACTGATGAGTCTGTTTTGGTGTGTAGGTACTTCTTCATTAAGCACGTCCCTCCACTGACAGAGGAGCAGCTCACTCGTAAGCCAGCCCTTCCCCTGAAGACGCGCAGCACACCTGAATTCTCTCTGGTCCTAGACCTGGTCAGCAACACTTTTTTTCAAATTAATGAATCTCTCTGGAAATCTTTAAACACCTCCAAAGACTCAAGACATTTTTCTGTGTTGTCGATTAGGATGAAACTCTGGTGCACTGCAGTTTAAATGAGCTGGAGGATGCAGCACTTACCTTCCCTGTCCTCTTTCAGGATGTCATTTATCAGGTATGTCTTGTTTAATTTTTTTTTCTTTCTTCACGTTGCCACTAGAGGGCGCCATATTCATGTCTCTAAAAAGCCTCAAAGGACAAATTTTTCTTATGGGATCATATTTTCATTCTAAATGATCACTGACCATTAAACTGTCCTGTGCAGGTGTATGTGCGCCTGAGGCCATTCTTTAGAGAGTTTCTGGAACGCATGTCTCAAATATATGAGGTAATTACAAGCTGGTTCTTTCTCTTAATTATTCCTAAATGCTTGAAGATGAGGATTTAAAGTTGAAGATTTTTGAACTCTTTGTTCTCTTTTCTAGATCATCCTCTTTACAGCCTCTAAAAAGGTGTATGCAGACAAACTGCTCAACATCTTGGATCCTAAAAAGCAGCTTGTGAGGTATGTTGAGCTTTATTAGCTGGTTATTGGTGCACAAGAAACTTTAAAGCAAAGTTTAAGCAGAGCGAATCAAGAGTAGAGCTCATAAAGCAGATGTTTAATTGTTTACTAATTTTGCTAACTTTGTCACCCCCACCCCCCTCCCTCCTTTCTTCGCCCACTGTGACTGCAGGCACAGGTTGTTTCGTGAGCATTGTGTCTGTGTCCAGGGAAACTACATCAAGGATCTCAACATTTTGGGAAGAGATCTCTCAAAGACCATCATTATTGACAATTCACCACAAGCCTTTGCATATCAGGTGAGACACCAACACCTGATAGGCAGGGGTTGCCTGGTTATCAGCGAGCATCAGAGATTCTGACAATGAGTAGAATAATTAAAAAAATGTTTTGGGTTGTCATTCGTTTGTCCCTCTACTGTGAATTTGATATTACTGGGATTTATTCCTGAATATTTAGCACGAAAGTCCACTTGAACACAAGTGATAGTTGAACAGAATTTCAAATATGGCTCAACACTAAATGTCAATGTCTTTTTTTTTTTGGTACATCACTTGAAACGTGTCTAATACAATGAAATTGACAGTTTGTATCAAAAAGGGCACATAATGTTCCTCCAAAACCCCTTTTTAGATCAGGTTTAATGCCAGAATTCAGGAACAGAAGCTATATAGATAGATAGTATAGATAGTAACTCCCCAAGCAGAGGATAGAAGGGTGAAGTGACATTACTAGATTAGACAGTGAACTGTTACAGCTACCACTTTTGACTGCTCTGTTTTGGGATAAACACAGCTGATCATCCTGCAGCTTGTGGTATCCTTAGCATCTTCTTGTCAGCGCCAACCGTGTGCATGTCCTTCTTCACTACATCCATGAATCTTCTCTGTGGTTCCTCTTTTCCTCCTGTGTGTCAGCTCCATATTCAGCATCTTTTATCCAGTATATCTGCTTTCCCCCCCAATCATATATCCAAACCGTCTCAGGTTTGTTTCTCTCTTTGTCTCCAAATGGCTCAACTTGAGCTCTACTTGTTTCTAATCCTGCCTATTCTAGTCATTCCGATTGGGGCACATCGGTTATTAGGGGTGGGGAAAAAAATTGATACTGTGTAGTATCGTGATATTTTGTTTGCTAATAATGTATCGATACAGGGACAGCAGAAATCGATATTTTGTTACAAAAAAAGTTTTTGTGGACTGGAACATGCTCTAACTTCAGAGCATGTTGATCAGCTCCTTTTTCTGAGCAAGAATCCTGACATTCCTGTGTTTAACTTTATGGCAGCAATAAACATGACAGTTTACTTATTTTAATTTAAGACATGTTTTATTTTAATTAAGTTTAAAACTTTTTTTTATTTAATGTAAAATTGTATTTTGTTTTAATTTACTTTCAAATTCTTCAGTTGCTGAAGGGGCTGCATAGTTTTCACAAATTGCATAGTTTAGAATAGCTATAATTGTACCAGATGGTTGCATTCAGTTAAGTTGGCCTAGACTGTAATACAAACCGTTCCGTTTGTCACCAATATAACTGACTGAAATGAAACAAAGACTGAGTGTGAGACTTTGTTATTATTAGATAAAATGAATATTGATAAAGTTTATACCTTTATGTACAGAATTTGAATATCGCAAAATATTTTTAAAAATTGCAATAATATCGTATCGTGGGATGTATGGTGATTCCCACCTCTATCGGTTATAGGGAGAAAGCACCACCCACCCCACTTAAGATCTTCAGCTACTTCAAACACAACAGAACAGCAGATCTTTTCTTCTGTGGTCACAGTTTAATTAAATAGATTTTTTTTTCTTTGGTCTCTGCAGTTGTCCAATGGGATTCCCATAGAGAGCTGGTTCATGGACAAGAATGACAATGAGCTTTTGAAGCTGGTGCCCTTCCTTGAGAAGTTGGTTGAGATGGTAAGCTGCCCTGTCTTTCATTTATTCTTGTAGGATCAACTACATCAGCAATAAGAGTAACTTGACCATGTGAGTAAACTTAATCTAACCTCCCACCCCTTCAACTTGCAGAATGAGGATGTGCGGCCGCACGTTCGGGAACGGTTCCGGCTTCACGACCTTTTACCCCCCGATTGAAGCCAACCACAAACTCTCGAAATGGGGACAACATGAAAAGACTGAGAACAACACGTGCGTGTAAAAAGCCTCTCTTTGGATTACAAACTACAACATTGCCATTACTTTAAAAAAAAATAAAATTAGCCTTTTTTTTGGTTTTGTTTTTAAATTCACCATTGCTTTAACAAGAAAAAAAGAGAAAACTTCAAAAGAAAACCTTTTTAAAAAATCTGGGTGAGATTTTCTAAAAATCGTAAGCGCATAGATGAAATTACACACACTATGGACAAGCCCAGGTCGTCGACACTTTTTAAGCGACTCTTCAGCTGTGGAGCCAGATATCAGCTCCACACTAAATTCTGAAGTCTTGGTGCTGGTTTAGTGGATATGAAAACACCACCTGGTAAAGAGGAACTCCACCTTGCCCGACCGCAGTCCAACCCTCTGGTGCTCACGCTGTCAGTACTGACGATACGACACTCTGTGGCTACAGACCATTTTTAACAGGAGTGACTGGCCTGTAAATCAATCTGTGCATGTGTGTATGTTTACTCCTAGCCACACACACTCACTGATTCGGTGTATGGGCAAGCCTACAAACTGTAGCCTTGAAAATCATATGCATTCCTCTGTAGCTTCGTCAACTTTCTGTTGTTGGTTGCAGTTGTTTTTTTTTTGTTGTTGTTTTTCTGGTAAAACTGGTGTTTTGTTTTTAAAGATGGGGTTTTAAAAGAAAAATTTCATTTCTGTTTGTAAGATACGAGATTTTAAAAGGGTCATGTAAGTTTCATTGTTAACCATTTCCCCATATAGGAGAACCTGTAAATGACAGTCCGCTGCATAGTCAAATAAAATGGAATGAATCCAGGACTTTATAGCTTGTTCTCATTCTGAGGTTTAAATGAATGTGTTGGCTTCACATGTGGACACAACATGGCTCTTTGATTTAAATGTTAAGGATCTTTTTACCTGTAAATCTGATACATTGTAATGATTTAAGGGCATTCATTCTCAAAGTGATGTGTCACCGTTAACTCCTCGTTTTTAATAGCAGTTCGTCATTCGTGTGTAATCAGTATTGTCTCCGGCTCCTGAGCAAGTATTCTCGCTAAAACCTCGATCGGTTTCTTTTAATTGTCACGTGTGACTTGATGGCTATATCAGTAGCATTATGACTAATGTAGCGCACCTCTGCCAGTGTGTCATAAAGTCTACCTGTGGCAGAAGTCAATGGCCAGACCGTGTACCAGCTATACCTGGCACCAGCAGCATACTGTTACTGTCAGCTTCACCGTCTGCCCCTTTGCCTGTTTCACATGTTTTTCGTAGTATTTTTAAGCGTTTGTTCTTTGTGTTTAGCCGTTAAAAGGATTGGTTAAGAATGGTAACTAAATGAATGTGTTTTTGGTTTTGTTTTTTTGCCCAACTGACTCTCAAGCCAATCTGATGTTTTTCTG